GCTACTGAACCAATCAAACTGGAAATTGAGACAGGGATAGTTATATAATATTAGCGAGATCCCTAGTAGCATACGGAACTTTCAATTAAGAAACAAACAAAAAAATACAGTATATTGTAGCAGGAGACCCGGCACCATACCTTGAGCCTCTGCAGAGGAAGTTCCTCGCCGCAACAAGCGGGGATGGTCAGGGGCTGAACGGTCACCCGCAGAGGAGGCAGCGCCGCCTCGGGCTCCGGAAAGTCCGAAAGGTCGCCAGTCGGTAGGGGCCTGAACTCCGGAGGCGGAGAGGAGATGAAGGAATTGGTACGGAGCCGGAGGAAGGAGCGAACCTGAGTCAGCGACGGCGTGCCTCTGGCGATCTGCGCGAAGATCTGGAAGAAGAAACCTAGCCAGTTCAGCAGCGCGACCCATAGTTGAGGAGTCGCCGGAGCGTAAACGTCGGCGGCTGGAGCCATGCCAGGCTTGTCGGCCATGAATTCCGGGGAATCTGGATAATCTGAACTTGGGCCTGGGGTGGGGTACGTACCTATATCGTGAACTGTGAGCGAACAGAATAAATTATTTGTACGGAATGACTCAATATAATGAGGAGAACTCCCTAACAAAAAAATGAAAAAGCTAGAGTCACAGTCACCTAAGGCAGGGTTGGGAAAACCGAAAACCGCAAACCGAACCGAAATTGATCGAAACGAGCTAGAAAAAAAACCGAATCGAATGTAAAAAAACCGAACCGAACCGTTAGTGTTTGGTTCTGTTTTGGTTTTGACTTTTAAAAACCAAACCGAACTGAATAAACCGAACTTTCTTAGAAACTTCGCTTTATTTATATGATAAAAAAATTATAGAAATATAAACGCAAATAAATTACTAGTTGATTAAAATTATTTTCTTAACTATTAATTAAACATTCTAGCCATATTATTATAAACTTTGAAAAAACCTAAGAATATAAACACCAATAGCTAATCCTAAAATAGAATCATATTAACATTAAAAATTGATACGAGTAATTTACATATTTACATAACAAATACTTTGATGTTATAATGAAAATGAAAGTATTATACCAAAAAACCTAAATTCTTCGTAATTGATTTTACATACGATTTCTTTGGAAGTATTTGGAATCTTCTAAATGTTTGTTGGGCACTCAACACATATTTTTTACATGTAAAATTGAACCGAAAGGAACAATGACCTTCCGTTTGGTTTTTTTGTTTTTTGTGTAAAAATCAAACAAAAAAACCAAAGCTAACACTACATATTGTTATTGTTTCATCGAGTTAGTGTTTTCACTATTTTTTAATGCTTATAAATTTCTACTTTTATAAACCGAAAAAACCGAAAAAATCCGAAATAAAAACCGTATAAAACCGAACCGAATAACCAACGGTTTACATATTTTTTATGCAAAACCGAACCGAACCGAACCGCTAATTTATCTTCCATTTTGTCTTTGGTTTTGGGTGAAAACCGAACCGCCAAAACCGAACCCACCCCTACAATCACCGACGGATACAGAAATTGGACTATATGGGGCACCATTGGTCAGGGTCTCGAGGCAGCATCCTTGAATATTTTTTAATAGTCTATTTCAAATTTTAATAATAATTAGTTTTATTTCAAATATTATTGATTGTAAAACATTTTTAATAGGTAATGTGAAAATTTATTTTATCACTCCGGGTGATGGTGTAAATTACCTAACTGGGTAAACTATACTAAATCGAATCTATGATCGTTTTGATTCGGAAAGTAAAAAGGTAAAAACACACAAATGACCGGGAGGACTGTAGGTGGAAACACCTGTAGCCCAATTGGTATTATAAATATGGGAGAATGCACAGGAGCTTTCACAAGAGAGTTTTAGAGAGAATGAATTTGGATCCCTCCCTTCGAAAGTTACAGCAGTATTTATATTAAGCCATAGGGGAAAAGGCATCGTGCACCCACGTTGAGGCACGGTCCTGGGTGGTGAGAGGTGATGATCTTTGTCGTGTAGCACCTTGGATGAATTGCTTAAGTATCTTCATCGATTCTCTATTGATCTTGGCCGCTACGATCCAATTTCCTTTGGATTCTTCTCTGCCGACACCTTCCAACTTCCGAAATCATACTGGGTTGATTCCGTAGGATGGGTTAAATGAAATTGGGGAATAAATGACGGATACAAAAGTTTGACCGGTAGACTGTCCGAAGTATACCGGTCATCTTTCTCGGCAAACCGTACCTCCTTCTACCGACGATTGGGGTTTCCCTTTCCAGTACAATCAATTTGACCGGTCACGTATTTGGTTATCTCCTTTTGACCGGTCCTGGGTGGAATACACCCATCACCGGGGTATAAATTAATTATATGTAATAAAATACATTTTACTAAAAAATTAAATAAAAAATTTAAATTTGACATAATTAGATGGGATCACATTATTTTTTTAGGCGATTAAAGAAAGGATGACGATAGCCACACTTGTCAGAACATTAAATACACCCCACAATAAATATACCCCATGATGCTTAGTTATGTACTTTCTCCGTTCTCAAAAACACTTCCTCTTTCATTTTTTCCACTTCCAACAACACTTCCATTTTTTATTAAAAACCACTTTTACTCTTACCTTTTCATACCCTACCTATAACATCATACTTTTTCTCTAATAATTTATCCATCACATCTTACTTTACCCATCACATCAGGGACAAAATTGAAAGTCAACTATAATTTAATACTTCCTTATTGTGTGTGTGTTTGATGGTGTAAATTAACCATCGAATAAACAGTTCTAGATCGGGTCTAAGAATGTTTATAGAATTCGATAATGTAAAAAGTATTAAACACAAAGGTTAACCGGGAGGACTGTAGGTGGAAACACATCTAGCTCAATTGTTATTAGAATATAGTAGAGTGCAAGGGGGTATTACACAAAAGTTTAGATAGAAGAATTCAGATACCTTCATTTGAGGGTTACACAAGTATTAATAGGAAGATAGAGGAGACAAGGCGCCGCACACCCACGTCAGGCCAAGTTCATGGGTGGCATGAGGTGATTGCTTTTGTCTTTTAGTGGCTTGTTTCATCCATATACTCCATTGTCATCTAGCTAGTATGATGACTTTCTTGTCGCGTAGCGTGTTAGACTGATTGCGTGAATATCTTTAGTGATCCCTCATTGAATTTGGCGATACAGTCCATCCTCCTTTGGATTCTTTCATGCCGACATTGCCAGCCCTGGAAACCACACCGATTAGGTTTACGCGGGATGGATTTATGGAGATTGGGATTTGGGGGTGATCAGGACAAGTCACGTAGTTTGACCAGTAGAGTACTATAGACCTGACAAAAAATTACCTGACCTGTTTTTGACCCGAAACCCGATGTGAAAACACTGAGTTTTGAATTAAGGTTTTGATGACCGAACCCGAAATGACCCGCTAAAAATGGGTCAAACCTGATCGAACCCGAACCCGACCTGACCGACCCGCTAAAGTGAGTGTTTTTCAAAATCATACACTTTACTACTCATTTTTAATGTAAAATTTATATTTTCAGGCAAAATTTTAATGATTTTGCATAGTTATCTTACTTTTTTTCTAAAACTTAAACATTTTTTAAATTTCTTATATTGATTTATATATCGAAAAAAATTCAGGATTTAAAATAGAACAATCTAATAGATTTAATACATATTTTTTGATATTTTAAATTTATTTAATAGAAAATGTAAGTGTTAATGTGAATATAAAAATTTAAAAAACCAAAGTCATAACCCATTGGGTCGACCCGAACCCGATGACACTGGGTCATGAACATACAGCTCTAAACCCAAACCCGAAATAACCCGAACTCAATGTGACCGAACTCGAACCCAACCTGACCGACCGATTTGCCAGCTCTAGAGTACTCAAAGTGTATCGGTCAAGTTTCTGTCACCGATCGATATAAACCTTTGTCGTTTAGATTTCCTATTTCGAAAATTCATTGTTTGACCGGTCAAATATTTGTGGGCCTTCACTTGAACTGATACTGGGTGGAATACACCCATCAAAAGACTAATTTATCAAAAGCTTAAAAATTTAAAATGTATGTAAGTCAATGCAAAGCCCAAGATTAAGATTAATTTAAAAAAGAGTGAAGTGAAATAAGTGTAGGATGAGATTAAACTTTTGGTGGGTGTGACTATCACCACTTTCAAAGAAACCCAAAATCAAACGACTAATTTAGGACCCGTTTGGTACATGGAATTCAAATTATGAAAATGGAATTGAGAACTCCAATTCCAATTTTGGTGTTTGGTGATACAAAAATGATATAGATTTAGAATTATTAGTGTAAAAAATGAACGGGAATTGGTAGAATTTAATTGTATGGAATTGAATACAATGAAATTTCAATTCTAATTTTGTCAATTCTGTATATCAAACGGACTCTTAGACTCATGGAGGGTTTATTATTTGTGTCTGTGTTTATTATGTTATGGTTGATACATAACTTTTTTTTATAAATTACTTATAAGTTAAATATTATTTCTTAGAAATAAAATGACTTAAGCGATAAAATTAGTCATATGAGATACTTTTCTAAATAGTCAGATCAAAACAAAAAATTAGCTTAAAAATAAATAGGTAAAAGCAACAATTTTTTAACTTATAAGTAATTTATAAGTCAGTTTATAAACACAAATAAAAATGTCATCAATTAATTTGTAACTTAAAAAGAGTTTAAAAACAATACACAACCAAACACTAGTTATTAAACAAACTTTTATGTTTGTCCAAACCTCAAATCCAAAACAAGCTGTGTTTTTATATAACCCCACACAAACAATTATCCAATCTTGGTTTTATCTTGGGGTTGTGGTTCATCTTTGAAAAATGTTAACCCGTTCATATTCAATTCAACTTATTCTTTTACTTATTATTTATTTTTATTAGAATTAAATCAAAGCAGATTAGATAAAAAATAGTTTTTACTATAACTGTATTTAATTCAGATCAAACGAGAACTTATTGAAATTTTGATCAAAATTATTATATTTTCCTCAATTTTAATTCTATAAGGAGTGAGAATAGAACCCACTGCGACCTTAAAAACCGAAAGAAAATCCCATTTAATTATCAGCGCTATATCTCCGCTTATTTACGATCATAACCTCAGATCTTCATTTACGCCGCCGGGCGCCGGTCAACATGGCTTCTTGTCCGCCGAATCCCCGTTCCGTCGAGGACATCTTCAAAAACTTCTCCGCCCGCCGCACCGCCGTCATCCACGCCCTAACTCGCGGTGAGCCACCACCGCTCTTCAACTTTCTGTATATTTGTACGCCCCGTCGTGTTCACGCCTTGTTCGTTTGTTATCTAAACGCTGATTCGCTCCTCTGTTTTCTCGTGATTCGCAGATGTGGATGAATTCTTCTCTCAGTGCGATCCAGGTAGGCCGGCCGGCGGTTATCTTACTTCCGGTGCATGTGTGTGAAGTGTCTGTACTTCGCAGTAATAGCTTGTGAGGAGAATTTGATTTTTTTATATAATTTAATTGTGTGTTGTGGGCTGTTTTGTGCAGAGAAAGATAATTTGTGTCTGTATGGTCATGCGGACGAGTCGTGGGAGGTCACATTGCCCGCGGAGGATGTCCCGCCCGAGATACCAGAGCCAGTCCTAGGCATCAATTTCGCTAGGGACGGGATGGATAAGAGAGATTGGCTGACGCTGGTGGCTATGCACACCGATTCGTGGCTGCTTTCTGTGGCTTTCTACTTTGGTGCCCGACTTAACCGTTACGAAAGGTACATTGTACGGAATTTTCAGTTTTGGGATTTTGTTATACCTGCAGTTATCGTGGTTGTCTTTATTACCAATGCATTTTCTACTTGAAGGTGTAAAAGGGATGCCTTACTCAATTTAATTAGATAGCATTATATCACAAGTTTTATCATCAAAGAAGCTAATATGGGGGGTACTATACAGCTAAGATCCATTGGGATGGAGGGCTTTTGGGCAATGCTTTGGGTGGCTTAGTCTATATCTTACTACTATAGTCTATATAGAATCTTTATGACAATGAATACGGGATGATTGAAATGTTACTTGATCACATATTCACATATCGGGCCATTCCTCAATTTCCATAAGATCTCAAACATATATCGAACATACATCACCTTCAAAACCCTCCATCCAAAGTGACCGTTAAGGCAATAGATTCTAATAGTTTAGTCTTATTGCTATCAGAAGGTTTTCGTCTATTTTCCATTTTTCCCAATTGGGGCCAGTTATTGACTCCAGTTCCGTAGCCATCGGCTATTATTTTATAAAAACACAGTAATGTTTCTAATTTTAGTGGACGACAATGAATTCTTTGATCAGAAATACATAGGTTAAACTTGCAGAGGTACTCTGATTTGTGCATCATTTATATCTTTAAATGATTTTTGGAGTGGGTTCTAACCCCATACATTTTAAAGTGAATGTAACAATGAAGATGGGTAATCCTGATGTTTGGAACACCGAACACCATATCTAATGAGATGCTCTAGGAAAATATTACACTAGTATTTTGGATACTTGTAGTTCAGTTTAGGCGTTACCTAAGAGACTTGTAAAGGTGCTTCTTAAATATAATGTGAACTGTTTTTGAGATGGAAATTAAAAATTTGTTCCATAGTCAATGATTAGCTCCCCTGTTGATGACTGATTTTCTTTACGGCCTTTTGAAAGATTGTTATTACTATGATTTCAATTCTAAATCCCCCAAAAGGGCTCTTGAGCATCCTTAAAACATTTTTATAAGTTACCTAGTGTTGAATGCATGTTATGGATATAATTGTACATCTTAAATTATTGCAAGTTGTAACATAGAGAACCAATTCTACAAATAAATTCTTACTAGTTTAGCAAAATGTTTGGTGCCTCAATGCCTAATATGGTTTTTTCCCGGAAAACTTTCTATAGCTTTGCACCAGTGATTGATAACTTAAATGAGTAATTGCATATACAAAGAAAAATTCAATTTTTTTCTTCATAGTTAGTCTCTTGAACCATTATCTTCCAGATGCCCAGTGTAGTCTTTGTGTTAATATCAATTCATTTTTAGTATACTGCATCCAGATTTGCTGCATAAAGGGTAGTAACAAATGCATATCTCATGGGCTACATGTAGGAATAGACCGGCAAAGAAAGAAAGGGGAGATGTATGGTGCTGATTAGGCATGTCAAAAAACATAGGGGCATGTTCTCATATGCTATAAGGTTTTTTTTAATTAAAGGAATGATTTTGGATGATAAAAAGAGTTAAATGATTGAGTGGTGTAGGTGTATTCAATCTTATGGCATACTTAAGAGTTAAGAGATTGCATCACATATAAGGTTTGACTAATAAACTTCAAAGTCAAAAAAGGGTGGATGGAAGTTTGAAGAGATACTAAGAAATCCTTAGCATGTGTTTAATCACATGATGAGCCAAATATATGATAAATCATGACTCCTAAGTAATCATCCTGATTCTCCATTATCTTTTATATATTGTGTGTGGTGGACTCAAAACGGTAAGTTTGAGAATTTGGAGCGCGATATGAAGATACATGCTTTTAAAATTTCTTCCTTCTGTTTTTTAATAATAGAATATGAACATGGAATCTGTATTAAGTGTTTCCTCTTTTGCTTAGTGCGAAACATCTAATTTGTAACTTTGATGGCAGGTAAAATAAACCAGTGTTAACATAATATTGGTCTATCCATTTTTTTTTGTTTACGAATTTTTTTTATGTAGATTCCAACCTTACGTGTGTCTTTCTTAATGAGATTCAACAACAATTTGATTTCAATTGTAACAATGATTGAATGACCCGTAAAGATGTCTGCAACTGATATATATATTACATCATCAAACTTGTGCTCTTCTACATTTTACCCTTAAAACTTGAAATTTTGCCTTTAAGACTTGAAATTTTGGGTGATTATTGTGTGAGATATATATATTTTACAGATATATACCTCATCAAAAACCACTAAACCAGTATCATTTTATAATCATATCTCTTTTTGAGTTTAGGCTTTAAGATGTACATAGCCTTCCCCTTTTGAAAAAATAGAGAGTATGTATTTGTTAGACCCTCGAGGCAGTGCTGCATTTATCACCCAAAAGTTTATAGGAAGTAAGAAGTTTTCTGTGCAATTTTGATTTAGAACATCAAGGAGATGGTAATTATGATGTACAATTGTGGAGTGATTAGATGAAACGAATGATGTAGAATAAGTGGTTCCATTATGCGAGATTTCTAGCTTTACTTTTTTCTAGGTCACCGAGGATTAAAATAAATAAGTTTGTTTTATGCAGAGCCTGTGAGGCAAGGCAGCGACTTTTTGTCGTTGATATTTTTAATTTCATGTTTCTGCAAGAAAGAGTTTCATTTCTTATGGCTTGGTGTAACATCATATCAAGAATTCTGTCGTTATGGGATTCACTTTTAGCATGCATTGATTTCATTGCCATGATTTATTTTTTGATGTAAATTTCATCAAACCTCAATCCCTTGGAAGTACTTCTTGGAGATTGGAATTCAACCTAATATATTTATGTTTTGGGGTCGTTGTACTTAACAGGAACCGTTTGTTCTCCCTGATAAACGATCTGCCCACTGTCTATGAAATTGCGACAGGAAGGCGATCAAAAGAAAGGCTTAGTGCGGATGAGGGTAAGAAATTCACGACAAACACAAAGGTAAACTTCACGAAGCCCTAAATACATGTTCTGGCGCCCTTCTTACTGAAAATTTGAACCCTTATTTTCTAAGGGAATTTTGAATGAAAGGGAGGGGAGGGGTAATATTTTTATAATAATTTATTTTGCATTTCGATGGTTGGATAGAAAATTTAATTTTACATTTTGAAGATGAAAATTCACATAAAAATATATGGAGTCCCATTTAACAAAAGATATATTCTCTGTCCCTAAAAAAAGTTTTGTTTCACTTTTACCAATGAACAACTTTTAAATTTAGTGAAGTACCATTATTGCGAATAATCAATGCTAACTCTATTCTTAAACGTATTTGCTGGTTGGACTAAATTTCACACTGTTAACGTATTTGAGACACTCTTTTGCTTAAAATACATTAAATCTAACTAAAATTAGATTTTATTCAGATAAGACTTGTTTCGGACAAAAATCCCTTCTCGAAATGGACACTCTTTTTGGGACAGATGTTGCAGTTACTGTTAAACACTCAAAAACTCAATGCTAACACACAAACATAGATTACCTAAAGAAAAATCATCACATTCCCATCCAAACAAGCCCAATCTTTTAGCATTATTGTCACTTTTTTTTTGCAAGCAGAGAGAAAAGCCAGGGAGGAGGGTGCAAGAGAGCTATGAAGAAGAGGAGAACGAGGAAGAAGATGAGGGTGAAGACCAGGAGGATGAAAGCAATACCGTTTGCGGGACCTGCGGGGTTTATTACAACAAACACGAGTTCTGGATCGGCTGTGACGTGTGCGAGAGATGGTTCCATGGGAAATGTGTGAAAATAACACCGGCAAAAGCAGAGAGCATCAAGTTCTACAAGTGCCCTTATTGCTGCAACAAAAGGAGCAAGCAGTAATGGTGTGTGTGGGGGGTTTAAGGGCACACTGCCCTTGTTTTTTCCATCAGAAGGTATACTATCTGAATCTCATGAACAAAATGCTGCAAGTGTTAGAGTTTCTTTTTTTTAGTATCTCTCTAATTAGGTCTTTTTCCCTCTCTCTAGAACCTATCTATCTCTCAAGTGTGTCTAATTTGAATTCTCTTTTTTTTGTAAGTTGGGGGTATAGTTTTGAAAATGCTTCACAAATTGTTTGAGTAAAAAGGAAAATACAGTTTCTTATGAGTTGAGAAAAACTGATGTGGAAAAAGAATCCTTTTTGTACAAACAACTCTTATGTTTTGATCATGTTCTGTGCCGGGTGTCTCTTAAAAACAATCTCTTTGCTCTCTGGGTGGGTAGGGCCCGGGATGTATGCTAGCTGTTTTAAGACCTGTTTGGCGAAAGCATTTAGAAATTAAAGTTAGCGTTTTGGATATATTATCTAATGTTGGTATTTAGCTTTGGTTATTTTAACTTGTGTTTATAGGTATGGGTTTCACATAATTTTAATTTGTGTACATTTAACCTCTCTGATCTAGAGGCGTTTCTTTAATTTTCATGAAGTTGGTTTTTGTTGAGTCGTTGACCATAGTAAAATACTCTATAACATATGGAAGGGGAAGGTTCAAGTGACATTGAATCTTGATGTCATGGGATGACCCGGAGGCGCTCCGGTGCCCCGTTCGTAAAATTGACGGTTCCTACCCCCCTAACCCCCCTGGTAAACCCCATCACCCAGCTCCGGCCCGAACACCCCCCCCCTCCCACCCCCTTCAATTGCACCCCACAAGTTGATTTTGACTTTGGAATAAATTTGACTCCAAAGTCAAAATCAACTTGTGGGGTGCAATTGAAGGGGGTGGGGGGGTGTGTTCGGGCCGGGGCCGGGTGATGGGGTTTACCGGGAGGTTATGGGGGTAAAAACCGTCAATTTTACAAACGGGGCGCCGGAGTGCCCTCGAGTCATCCCATGACATCAAGGTTCAATGTCACTTGAACCTTGGTGCATATGGAATGAGTAAATTAGTAGGGAGTAATACAGTAGTAATCATTAAAATTTACATGTGAAAGTAAAACCAGCATTCTTTTAAATTTACCGAGAAAGTAAACCACAAAATACTCCGTGTGTAAATAAAATTAAAATTACTCATTTACTCCTATTTAGGAGTACAATATTATTATACTTCATCCGTTCCATAAAACCCTTCTTCTTTCGTTTTTTTCCAATTCTCTAAAACACTTCTACTTTTTATTAAAAAATTACTTCTACCCCTACTTTTTTCCTACCCCTACTGTTAAACTAACTAATCGATTGGATTCAATCTCTTAATGTGGTTCAACCCAAGTGTCTTATTACCCAATCCAGTTGTCCATATCCATCCCAAATTTTATCACCTACCCATCACATTATACTTTTTCACTAATAATCAAACTATCACATCTTACTTTTACCCATCACATCAGAGACAAAATTGGAAAGTCAACTAAAATTACACTTTCCCTATTTTGGCCCAAAGTCAAAATATAGGAATTGTTTTAAAGAACGTTGGAGCTAGGGGTGGACACGGTACCGGAAACGGTACCGCCGGTTCCGGTACCGTTACCGTCGGCCGGTACGGTCCACCGGTTCCGGGAACCGGTACCGGTACCGCCCAATCCGGTACCGGTTCCGGTGCCCATTTTTCGGTACCGGCACCGGCGGTTCCGGTACCGTTACCGTTTTTTTTTATTTTTTATTTTTTATTTCATTCTTTCCTTTATCAATTTCATTTTTAGATTTTTTTATTTCATCATTTCCTTTAACAATTACACATTTACAATTTTACATTTTAAAAATATAATAAAAAAGCAAAAAAAAAAACAAAATTAGGGGTGGCCGAAACGGTACCGGAACCGGTACCGGTACCAAGGGGTGGCGGTACCGGAACCGGCGGTTCCGGAACCGGAACCGTCCTGGAACCGTACCGTGTCCACCCCTAGCTTGGAGGGAGTAATAGGTAAATGATAAGCCTCCCTAGTAGTTGTTGTTAGGGTTATATGTAAGCATTAACAAGGATAGAATATTATTTAAATTTTCAGCAAATATATCCATCTCTATTGGCCATGTTTTCTCTCAATTTTATACTCCAATTATTCAAACACCAACCTCAAATTACAAGACTAGCATTAGACTTGAGGTTTCAGTTTATACTTAATACGTTTCACGGATTTTGTTTTTGTTGAAATGAAATGGGTATTTTATTATTGAATAGTATTTCCTCCGTCATATAATGATGTTCTCATTTTAATTTTTATGAAACTTAAGGAAGAGATATTTTTGTATTGACTTTCCAAAAATACTATTGATGTAATAATTAAACAATTAGTAAAGATGTATAATGTAATATGTAAGTTAAGAATTTGTAGGGGTAAACGATGTTTTTTTTATAGAAAGATGAATGACTTTGTAGGATAAGAAAAAAAAGGGAGAAAGAGTTTTTAGGACGGAGGAAGTATCAGGAAACTCCCTCCAAGAAATCAGATGCAGAGTCAGATGCTTGAACCAACAAATGAGCAAATCTGATTCACTGATTTTCTAACAATAAACCACGATAAAGTGCCCCTGAGCATTATGCACCACCACCCCCAACCTTTGCATTGCCGGCATTCAAACAAAAACTAGCATCGACATTACGCTTTAGGCCACTCGCTTCTGGCGGCTTCCACTTAGTGTTTGAGGCCCCACTTAATTGATATATCTCATACTTCGTGTGTTTCAAAATATACACTACATTCTGAATAACATGCAAAAAAAATTCTCTTAATTTTTTTCAAATTGGTATAAAAAGTATATATTTTACCGTTCAAAAGTACATCAAAAATTTTACAAAACAAATGCGATAAAAATATTTTATTTTATTAAATGGTCTCTAATGCCCTGGCCCCCACCTTGGCTGAAAGTGTTTGCTTATAGAATTGTAGAGTGGATTCCACAGATCAACACAACTACACAAGCCTTTCCCACTGCACACACTTTATTCTCACTCATGCGCGCCCAGGACACTTTCCTCGGATCACTCAACTTAAAATTATTTGAAATCCAGCACGCTTAATTTTGAAGTTTCTAAGTGATGAATTCTTGAAAAGAAAATGCATCTTAGTGGTTTGAGTAGTACTAACAATTTTTTTAAGCTCTTTCATTCACATCTTAACACGGAGCTTACATTCACGGATTCACCTCACTCAGGAATGCAACATCCTCGTTGCATCATTTTTTTCAAACTTCTAGATCTTCCGCGCTAGGTGATCTAAATTCTTTGGCTCATCACGGACGCAGAATTGCTCTGATACCATTATATTTGTAACGCTCCGATCACATCTTGACCAAAAGTATTTGTTCATAGGATTGTAGATTGGTCTTACGAACCAACACAAATTTTTCTTGGGCACTTTTTCTTCACTTGCGTACGCCCATGGATTAAAGTGGTCTTTCTTGCGTGTGTACACAAGTAAATAGCCTATCATGTCGCCATTATTGTAAATGACGACTTTAACCCTGTAAACGGTTAAATTAAGAGCATAATTAAATGTGATAATGGATTCTTTCTTGATCATGCATGGCATAATCCTCTACTCTTTTGACTCACAATCCAAATTAATATTAATAATAATAATGAAGACAAAAAAAAGATATTCATCTATGATTCAAATAAATCAATTCAAAATAGTACTCCATATTAACAAAATCAAACATTGAAATTTATTGAGGATATGAAGTCTATAATGGAGCATCCAAACCAAAAATAATAATTTTATACTCCATATATAAAAACATGAATGACTCTTCCCAATATTGTCAATTAACTTTGGGTTGAATTCTTACTATTTTACATGTTATCAGAAACAATTTTAACTCATGTTTATTCGAATAAATTACAATCTTATTTAAGGATATTAAAGTAACACATGGAACATCTACTCATCTAGACCATAAAACATTATACTTCCTCCGTCGAAAAATAGATTATCATGATATTATTCTAGTATCATGATAAATTATATTTGTATACTCCCACCATCCCAAATTTGAATACAAATTAGGATTTACGAGGCAAAATCTCTCATATTTTGAAATCATTATATTTACAAATTAGTATATTGATAAAAAATAAAAATTACATATGGAAAAACTACGTCAAAAGCTCTACAAAAAAAGAGGTGACAAGAATTTTTTTTCAAATTATCAATGAAAACACACAAATAATTAAAAATTATCCAAAGGAGAGAAAAAAATTGTAATCAAAATTGGGACGGAGGGAGTATGTGTTTTTATTGATTACTGTATTTTATAAAATAAAATATTTCTGTCACCTTTCATCCCTCTTATTGATAAATTGGTGTGGTTTCCCCAGCCCACACCCCACACATTTTGCTTTTTTGCAGGGTCCTAAAATTTTTTATCACTTCTAGTTCTGTACAATTAATTTTTAATGCAGTCTTCTCGGAGTAATTTGTAAGTTATATTTCTTATTTAAATATTAATTTGTAATTAACATTAATTGAAAAGAAATGAAATTTGCATATTCTTTTGAGAGTCTAATTGCTATAGGACATAGTGAGTATTTAAGACTATAAGTTTGTCTTATTTATAAGGAAACACGATAATAAAAATAAAAACAAAAACAGATACACATGTGTTACAATAGTGGCCGGACACGCCTATACATGCAGAAGTAAAGTTAAACCATATATTCAAATGAATGAGCAACAACATCCACAATTACCATTTTACCCTTGTAAAATATAACTTTGCCATAACTAAAACATCTCTCATGGCAAGCAATCCAAGCATTGATAATACTTTTTAGTAAAATTGATGGTACTTCTTCAACACATGTGCCAAAAAAGTACTAAAATATTACTAATAGTATCACCTAGCAAGGATAAAAAAAGTAAATTTGAAGAGCATTGCTCATACACATTTTGTTAATCATCCATTTATTCTATATATATAAATATATAAGATACTTCTCTCATATATATACAATGACCATATTATCCTTCATGTTTTTTTCCAAATCCTTCAAGTTGTTCTTTTCCTTTGGGTCCTTTGGTCCTTATGTAAAGACGGTATTGGTCAAATGTCATGGGCGCATACAATGCCGGCTTCTTTGGTGTCACCAGCTCCTTTGCAGGCTGAATTAGTAAATCTCCCCGGGGGTTGTAGAAATAGGCCAACGAAACACGTTCTTGGTTTGAATTCACAATCGCTCTGTGCTCGACAC